GGTGTAGTACTAAATACAGTGATCTCAGTTCTAAATCTGTACTATCCATAATACCCACTATAGAACATTGAAGATAAAGAGAAAATGGATTTTAAAACTGCTTGAAATCATAAAATGCTATGTATCTATTCACTGTTGATATATAGTAGCAAAAGAGGATTCTTCTGCATCATTATAGGAAATACAGGTACTTTGATATGCATTATGATCTCTAGTCAAATTATATGGGGATTATATAAAAATTGTTCTGTATGTTTAAATATTCAAAGATGAAAAATACTTAATTTCCTACCAAGTTGCATCTGGGTCAGAATATATTTGTTGAAAGGAGACTTTAAAGGACGTAAAGAAATACAAGGAAAGTACATTCCAACTCTCCTAATACAAGAACTAGATCATTAGAACCTGTGGAGTAAAGTTTTAGTTTTCACTTTACCTAATATTTCCAAAGAAGTCACCAAAGTTGCTGGTATACAGAATGATCATAAAGATAGATTTCAATATCCTACAGGACTATTTTTACTTCTGAATCCTGAAAGAACAAAAGTAATCAAGTCCACAAGAGAGCAAACTGCTTTTGTATGTAGGCTCCGAAGCAGTGTAATAAAGCAGAATAAGGTAACCCCAAATTGAATAATCAGAAACCAGAGCTAGAGAAAATCCATTAAGGTACTGAAACAATGGGAAAACGTGTGGGAGAAGAAACCCGACTAGCAATCCAGATCTTCTCACTCTGTCAATTTGCCTCTGTGTTTCATTTCCTCCACTCCAGAATGGGAATAATTCATGTGTCTAATCCACATTATCTGTAAGGATCATATGGGGATGAGTGATTTGCAAACTGAAGAAACACCAGGCATATTGCTGTGCATCTACAGAAGCACAGGAACAGTAATTTATGTTTGACCAAGTGAACCAACCCCATAGTAAATCAGACTGTTGAAAGTGAGAATTGGATTTTAAACGAAACAACCTGAAGATAGTGAGAACAGACTAACGGGTTGCATGATCTGCAATTTGGAAATCATTTAAGAGTTGTGGAATCAATTTAGTGTGTTGCAACCAACATTAATTTTGGTGAAATGGAACAGAAAATACCAAAATGCACCAAATTGTAAAGGAAAACACTGTTACATGAAACACCCGCCTCAGTTGTGATTACTTTCCAAAGGGGTCACAATATTGTAGGGTTATCCAAAAATTTGAATGCTACTGACAGACATAAAGGAGGGAGAGCTGTATCTTCATTAATTTTAAAGTTGTAGATACAGATTAACAGATTTTAGGAAACTTGTTACCTGTAATGTTAACAATATGAAACGAGGCAAAATTAATAGATATGTATACAGTATTGTGTGCAAATCCATAGAAAGAAAGATTCAAGTCCATAGGGAAGAGAGTAGGGAACAAAAAATTGTCTATCATGGGTTACAGTCTGATGGGCTCAGTTCTAGGGAGAATGTACTCTAACAGACTCAGAAGGAAAGATGGGACACAAAGAACCTGAAGTAGTGGACAATACCAGGCATGCTTAGCTTGAAGCTTAATGACAGCAGTCGTGAACTACTTCAACCCAGATCAGTGTTCTTTATATCACAAACTTGCAAAAACTTGTCATTTGCTATAAATCGAGTATGTTCCTTCTGAATCTGGCCCCTTTCTGTGTCTCCCCCAGCAAAGCTTAAGTCTGCATCCACATCTTGTAGGACATGTCCTTCAGTAAGCCCGAGATGCTTGCTGGGTTCTAAGTTCAAACATGGCCTCAGAGGGGCCTTCCATAGTAATTGTCCTAATCATTCTCAGTAAATATTTTTCTCTCACCACACAGTAAGCTCTCTGAAGACAAACACTGATTCTGCTCTGGCTGCCTTGGTTGCCCCTAGAAAGCATCTGCGAAACTATTTTTTGAATCAATCAATTCAAGTATTTTCACACAATAAACTGTTCACGGATAACTCCCTACCTTTCTATGTCACCCTATCTTAATGCCTAACCAAATAAATTGCTTCTGTTTACTAGGGGTTAAGGGACAAACAGGAATAGTTACAGCCCACATTTCTTTTTCTTAAATCCAGAAACGAAGTTTTAGAAAAGTTAATGGCTTGACCAAGGGCCAACAGAGCGATGAGCGCACAAATTCAGGTGTTCTCCATTCTCTGCGGAACATCAAGCAGCATTATTGTTTGTTCAAAATAGAGGAAAGGAAAGGTGGCACAGTGGATAAGTGGAAAGCTGGGGGACACGACTCTAGAAAGCCCTAATTTTGCCTGATATTCATAAGGCAAAAGAACCACCCAAAGATTTTGGGGAAAAGTAATGTAATCACATGAATTATAGGAAGATAACTAATGGAAATACACACATTGGACTTAAAGGAAACAAAGACATTTTCCCACTCTCTAATAAATTCCTATTTATGGATTAACAAACTGGGATAGAATAAGAGATGTGAAACAATGTATATGATGGTTGTAGGCAAAAAGTAAGTCTTCCTGAGGTTTCTTTTCCCCTCTCAAGACCTGAACTTGGTTTGAATATCCAGCAACATCAGATTTATTATTTGTAACTTTGTAGCCTTGCATTTAAGGAATCAATACTGTTCATATTTTTCAGAATTCTGAAAAGTGCTAATGTGGCCATCTATACAGGTATATTTGCTATACAACATGCCAAAACAATTTATTACATGTTAATTTATCATACAAAGATGCAAAATTAATACAACTAAAAAAAAAAACTCTTCTGGAAGTGCCTATTCCTATTGAAGAAAATACTTTGGCAAAAATCAAATGTATAGCTACAATGAGAGGTTTCCAAACTCATATCTTTGCATTTTTAAATTCTTAGAAACATGTTCAAAAGGGAAAATGAAATTTGGCTCTACGATCGGCCTCCTTTAAGTTAAAACTCAGACATGTACTTCTTAGAAAAATCTCATTTGAAGTTTCACTAAAATTTAGACCTGTTCTACAATCTGTAGGGCATGATTATCCAGAGTTAAATCAGAAAATAACCCGATACATAACAATAAAGTATCACTCTTTCTATAAGCAAAATAAATCTGTATAGCTGGCCAAATTTTCAATTACTTTAATAGCTCTTTGAAGCAAATCTTCTATTAAAAATTAAAATACATAAGCTGGGAGGCTAACCATGAAAATTAGGGCTATCTTGTCAACAACTGTAAGGATTTCTCCTTCTGCTTTTATTCATGTTCTCTATTAGTCCTATTTAAAGGGTCAAGAAAACTTTCTATTTGGGTTCTTTAGCCCCAATAAAACCTTTGGAACCTTAGTAATCTGGAGTTCAAACTTAAAAAATTCTTGGCATTCAAAGCACTTTGCTTAGTGTACTTTGACTTCAAAGCACTAAGATCTTCATTCTGCACAGAAGCAGACGGAAAAAAAAAAACTGTCATTTTAAGAATTTTTTGCTTCATGATATGTAAAACAGACTTGAGAACGAGGTTTACCCGTTCTTCACCCATCAAAGAAACACTTCTACTTCCTCAGTGGTTATACTTTAGGTGTCTTATATAACTATATGACTAAGTTTTGATAAAAACTTGTTAGAAATTGCTAATGAATTATTAAATCTAATCTTACTCTGTCAAATATTTTGAACTAGCACATCTAATTTGGAGATGCATGTTTGCAAACCTTGTTTAGAACTTTTGCAAGAGGCAATATCAGTCAGACTAAATAACTCAATTTCCAGAATTGTATAGAACTAGTTTTCACTACCTATGCTGAATCCTTAAGGTTGGATGATTACAGTATACTCAGTTTGCAAAAAACAATACACATGGGTATGCAGCTGTGCGTTTGTGCATAATTGTAACCTGGCATTTCTAAGTAAATTAATGACAATGCTGTTGGCACATTCCAGTCAGGTGAAGAACCAAGTGAAAATGTCATCTTCACTACTAAGAACACGTACTGGCTTGGAACAGTCTGATTTTCTCCATAGAAATTCTCCACTATATTGCAAGAATTATAGCTTCCCAAACAAATCCTTATGAAAATGTCACTCAAATTCATAAAAAGCATTACCTTTGCAACTATGCTTTACACAAAGATATGATAGATATTGACTAGGTGCCTATTTATGTGCCCGGTACTGTTCTAGATACGAAAAATGACAGGTTTAAGGACACACAAAATCTTAGTGAAAAGGACAAAAAATGTTGAGAGTCAACTAATTTGGAGGCTCGTTTCACTACTTTGCTATTTTGTGCAAGTCATTTGTGACTTACCAGGCCCTTTAAAGTTTTTTTTTTTTTAAATCACTTAATGGCATTTAAAAAAAAATCATTGGCTTTCCATGAAATTACAATAAGATGGGCTCCATTAAAGTCAACTAGTTTTTGCCATCATCATTTTATCTGTACCTTGTATTTACAAGGAGAAAATATGATTTGGAGAGTTAAACTGAAGTGATAGCCTCAACAAAAAAAAATTTCCTCTAGGAATTATTACTGTTTGTAAACTGAACAACTTTCTCTCCACTGTTAATGTTATAGTTAAATCCAATTCTATTTTAGGTACCAAGGACACTACTATATTTAGAATGAATAAACTACATGTCTTTCATGCATTTTACAATTTTGGGGAGTATTTTCCTCATTTGCCACAGATCATCTTTAGGTTTCACTATTGCAGTAATCACAACCATGTTGTAAGCTTACAAATTATTATATGTAGTATTTTTCAATGGTCAGGAAAAGTTCTCTTCCAAAATAGTGTATTCATCACATTATTTAACTTTTAAAAGGAATGTTCCAAGGTAGCAATAAAAATCAGGTTTATCAGCATTTTTTAGTTGAGTGGTGCTGCCTGAGGTCAAGTTAACAAGTATCCACCTGTCATATAAAAGGAAACGGGACAACTAATAGAGACTTGGGATCTGAAGACCTGATGTTTTTAAAAACGTAAAAGCCGTATACAAGTGGTACTTCTCAAGAAATGAACATAACTGAACGAAACTATATGGTCTCTTACCTAAAGAATGTGCAGCTGTGGTTTTTGAGCTGAAAAACCGACCAAGCCCAAGATCTCCAAGTTTTACCACTCCAGTGGCTGTAATGAACACATTAGCTGGTTTTATATCTGTGAATAAAGGAAGAGACGAAGTGAGGGATGATGTAATTTTAGGAATTTTAAAGGGATACTTTTCATGGGAGAATTGATCTTGAACATGAAAGTTTGGCCAGTCACTTTTTTTTTTTTTTTTTTTTTAATTTTTTATTGTGGGTTGTTCAAAACATTACAAATTTCTTGACATATCATATTCCACACTTTGATTCTAGTGGGTTATGAACTCCCACCTTCACCCCATACACAGATTGCAGATTCACATCAGTTACACATCCATTGATTTACAAATTGCCATACTAGTGTCTGTTGTGCTCCGCTGCCTTTCCCATCATCCACCCTCCCCCCTCCCCACCTCTCCCCTCCCCTCCCCTCCTCTCTCTCTACCCCCTCCACTGTATAACCCTGAGGGTCTCCTTCCATTACCGTGCAATTTACCTTCTCTCTCCCTTTCCCTCCCACCTCTCATCCCTGTTAAATGTTAATCTTCTTCTCCAGTCACTTTTAATTGTGGTCTATCACAATATTTCAAAGTTCTCAATCCTGTGAGTCAATATAGCATAATGATGACTACATTTTTGTGTCCTATTTTTTAAAAATATTTTTAGTTGTAGATGCGAACATGTTTATTTTATTATGTGGTGCTGAGGATTGAACCAGATTCCTCATGTACTATGCAATTTCTTTACCACTGACTGACACCCCAGCCCTGAAGTGTCCTTTTTATAGTTTTAAAAGGTAGAATGCCATTGTGCAAATTTAGAGACATTAAAGTTTTCACCCCAAAATCACTGGATTATTTAATGATGTAACTCTTAACACTCTGAACATCTTAAGTGTATTCAACTATTCTCCTGCATCTTTTGCTATACCAACATAATCAGTAACACTAAATATCAAGCAAAAAGACTTTAAAATGTGGGCTCTAACATTTATAATTCTAATTAAATTACAACTTAGGAATTACCTGAGAAAACATGATGCTATACAATGACTAGAAGACACATAAAAGTTTTTGATTTTCTTACCTCTGTGCATGACTCTTCGAGAATGCATGTGTTCCAATGCACTGCACAGCTGAACAAAGTACTTCCATACTGTTCTCTCAGGAATTAGCCTCTTCTGTTTCTTAAAATGCTTTTAAAGAAATAAAAATAAGATCTTAAAATAGTCTTAACAGGCATAAATCTATACGTCAGAAATAATACCGGCTTTAATGTACCTACTATCATGATTTTAATAGGTTTCTTCCGATTATATACCTAAGGTTAGCACAAACCATGTAACACCACATCTGTATTATCGACTTCCCAAAATTAACATCTATATAAAATGGCTTGTCTTAAAAGGAAAGTTGTCAAATTTGATTATTAAGAAAAGCCAGAATAAAAATGTCTACAAATCCTAAGGTGATTATATTCATCAAAAGACTATTCTTCTCTTGGCAGAGGTTTTACTATAGAATTCTTTTTAAATATTGAACCACCCTACTGATTTGAAGTATCACGATTTATTAAAAATTAAATAAACAAAAGGGATTTATGTAAAGTTTCCATGAATATTTCTATTGTACATGGTAAGGCAAACTTGCACTTTGCTTTGATTAAATGAAACTGAAAGCCAAGGAAACAAAATCTTGTGGCAAAAAGCTGAAAGCACCAGTAGTCAACTTAAACAGATGTACACTTTCATTTTTGGAATTGTTGTCCTCTTTTGAATGCCCACCTATGTTAAAGACTAATAACTCATTCAAGAGCAATTTAGTTTAAGACACTTTATAGAAAAATCACTTCCTACTTGATTTTTAGATTACCAACATAAGTACTACATTTAAACATATACATTTATTCAAATTTAAACGTTCTTTAATGTATTTCAGAATTGATTTTTTTGTTGATATTTGAGAAATTTCAAAATAACTAAATTTTTACACTTATGACCAGTTGAGGGCAGGCTGAAAGGAAAAACGACACAAGGAACTCTTACCCTACTTCATACTTTGCAAATGATAGTGAATATAATCTTTTGCTCTCAATATACCAAAGTATAAATCTTCACAGAAAAATTGATGATTTTTATTATACCACATATATGGAAGTTATCAGCTACTGCATCAGTAGCATTGACTGCATCCTAAAAAGAAAATTGCAGTCTCACTACAATTTTGAAAATCTCCCATGTTTCATTATGAAGTCTTTTAATAGACTGTGTCAACATCAGCTTTCATTCGAAAGGGGCAATGCTACAAAATCAGTTCTTTACACATAATTTTCTTTCAGACTTGGAATGAATCCAAATAAAGCCTGGATGTGCTCTCCCCAAAGCTAGATTAGCATATCAGAGGACTGTTTGATGTCAACAGGAAGATGGGGACCAGGTTTCTTTTCATTCAGAAATAAATACACCATTTCATGTAAGTATCAAACCATGAAAGAAAAATATTATGCTTTAAAATAGATTGTAAAATGATAACTATAATTAACATAGCCCTTCACATTTTTAAAAGACCATCATTAAAAATTAAGTCATACACAAAACAGATAATGAAAAAGAATTGCCCTGAAGATGCATATTACAGAAAATGCTATTAGAGTAAAATGACCAGGATCTCTTTTTTATTTTTTGAGACTATCGTAGAACAAATTTAACATAATAAATTGACCATCATAATCCTAGCTATAGAATGACCAGGCAAGACTTAAACGTCCCATGTAGTAGCAGGCCACTGAAGAATATTATGAATTTGTCAAAGGCAATTTGATTATGTCACTAGTATTTTCCAGGTTTTTTATCTGCATCCGTTGGAAAAAATTTTCCAAACATTTCTTCAGTATGTCTTGTTTTTTGAGAACACCAACACTTAGAATGAAAATAGCCTGTCTGTTCTGATGGTGGCACTGTTGGCTATGTCTTAGGAAGATGAACAGCATTAGCAATTGAATTCTTTTGAATATTGGTAAGATTTACACTGACACTACAAAGCCAAAACTTGTATAATGCTAAAGTATCACAAAACAGAAAGCTGCTTCTTAATATTCTAATGATACATCTTTCACATTTTAATCCTCTAGCCAAATGGCACCATTTCAAAAATACTATTTCTGAAAAAAGGACTGTTCTATTCAGCTTTAAATTAGAAAAAAATCCAATGTCAACATGAGTGAAAAATGTATTTCTCATGCAAGTTTTTAATAAAGCAATAACCAAAATTTCTTAAAGGTTAGTATTGATACAAATAAAGATTGTCATGGTACCTTTTCCATGTTTATGCTCTAAAACAGAACATTTTTGTACCTGAAAGTAGTTACACATTCATAAACAGGCAGAAATTAACAGTCAGTTACACGTAATTTTTCCTTAGATTTTTTTAGCTAAAGTGCTGTTGACTTTAGAAAGTATTTTCTACCTTCATTAATATTCAAATAAACAGTGGATATTATTCAAATACCAAAGTCATGTAAAAAAGTTGATTTTATATACAAAACATTCACAAATACAAATTATATTCTCACATATAAAAATTATCTAGGTGAAGTCCAGCATACCTCGCGAAACACACAATCACTGATTTGTACCAAGAATATGCTAGCTGATGCAAGATGTTTCTGAAGATTTTAGGAAAACATTACAATACTCATATCTTTCCTTTAAAAATCACAAATTCCCAAGACCAAATCCATTTACAATATGGATGCTAAGAAGCATTCTGGGACTACTCAGCTGGGTAACTTGGCCCTTGCATTATAGTCACTACCACTTCAGGTACACTGCTTATTTGTTTTGCACTGCAAGAGCTTCAAAGACCTTACCCAACAAAAATTCTTTGACAATAATTTACAAAAATGTCTGTCTATACAAATATTTAAGCCTACAGTTGGTAAATTAATGTTGAAGGGAAAAGTTTCAGGCAGAACATTTGAAACCACGAGAGCCAATTTCATGGACATGTAGTCATGTACGTCCTGCACCTGATTTAAAAATGTCCTCTTAAGACTCAGTTTTTAATGAAGGGGACCCACAATGATGTAGCTAATCCTTGGAAGCTTTACCAAACATCCTTTAGAAATGTGCTTCTATAGTTACAAATATACAAATGAAAACAAATGTGATTCTTGTGTGCAAACCATTTTTGAAAAGGATTGGAAAAAATAATTAACTGATAAGACATAATGAAGTTGTTAGAGAACTAGAATACAGGTACCAGCTGTTCTCCATCCTTTCCAAATACCTAACGAGAGGAAGTAATAGATTTATGTTAAATATAAGGAAACACTTCCTGCTTGGGAATGCTGTCAAATGTTTCAATGTGTCACTTACATGACCCATATTTATCTTTTAATAGCTTGATTATGAAGTTTGACATTAACTACTTATATGACCTTGAAGAAGCCACTTAACCATCCTGGGTCCCAGTTTCTTTCCTCAATATATTAACAGTTTCTAAATGATGTATGAAGTCTTCACCATCTCTCATTCTATAAGCTGTTACTAATGAAACAAATATGTCTACTGGGTACATTCTCACACTTCAAAATAATTTACTGGTTTGTCCTAGCCTTCATCTCTCCAGTGTAAAAAAAAGTGAACCAATGAGTTTTTTTTTTTTTTTTTAACACTATAAATGATCTTCACATGAGACAACTGGTAGTTTGATTATATTACAAGTTGATGATAAAAAACCAAACATGAACCATCAGAAGGGATGTTCCTAAGTACTTTTTGAAATAACTGCAAGGTGTACTTTTACAAAAACAATTTCAGAGAGACTGGTGATAGAAAACAGGATGCTTCTGAAAATGTGACCTATGATTTTTATCTTGCTGAAGTTTTCTGTACAAGGTATAGACAGATCAAAGTATAAATATTTGCTATATGTAATTTTGGGTAAATATGTGTAGAATACCTCAGTTAAAATTTTGGTATACTAAGTTTCAGTGTAATTATTTTCACTCTTGGCAGTCTGCATAAAACTCAGATAACTTACATTGCTTTACAGTATGAAATAGATTGAGCCTGGCAGGTAAAGATGACTGAAAATGCCTAGCATTTCATTTTTCACATCCAAACTCTACTAGTCTTAAAATGTTGGGAAAAATCCATGAAGAGTGTTAAGACTATAAATGTGATAAATTCATTCCCCAAAGTCACAATTTTATATTAATTCTGTTGATGGAAGCCAAAAACGTATTTCATTGTAGGGTTGAAAATATTAAGACAAATAAGCACTTATAAAGTCAATATTTTTCCCCCAAAAGAAACTAGTCTATCAATACCAAGGAAACTCAGTATACTAAAAAAGACCAATAACATGAAGGCATTAACATTACTACAAGGAATGGTTACTATACTATTGCTGTATAAGTAATTCTTGGGAGCTGCTTCCTTGTAACTAAAGTGAATGAGAAAACGCCTGGAAATATTTCATGTTTTCCCTTACTCTGTCAAAGTATGGATAAAGTGAGAGTGTTTAAAAAAAAAAAAAAATCAGTAAAAGGTACATGATCACAAATGAAAATAGTTGCCTTTTTAAATAAATTCTTATGTTAGACCATTCAAGATAGTCAGAAAGTTGTTTTTCTCACACAACAAAGCATAAAAGTCTCAATTAAAAAGAGAAAGACACTTAACCTAATGGAGATTTTACCCTTAATTTACAAATATACGAACAACGGGGTCCTTGAAAAGTGGACTTTACAAACCAAGTAACACCATGGGCAACAATTTCTGGTAGGTACAGGCGTTTATCTTTTAATGACAACATTTTAGCCACATTCAGATCTACAAAGTGGTCATTATAATTTTCAATCTGCTAAATTCTATATGGCTTCACTCTTTAACCTGCAACACTACTTCTATAAAAATTCTGTACATATTGCTGTGTATGGGTGTGCTATATACTTCAGTGCTTATGTATATACACGTCCATCTCTTTGTATCATTTTTGTTTCAAATAGTGCTATCATTTGTAACCTTCAGTAGAAAGATTGTAACTGGGGTCAGTAGAAGTTGTCACTACTAACTTGGACTATACCCTTTAGTCAGAGGCTGAAATAGAAGATGTGGGTGTTTTGGCAAACTCAAAGATGGTACTGTGGGGAAGGTTTTGGTAGTTTAAACAGCCAAAAGACATTTCAAGA